GCCCAGGACCCTTTAGTGTCTGCCTGCAGCAGAGGCAGGAGAGGCTCCCACCACTGCTGCTGTGCTCTCCAGCCATGAGCTTGGCTTCTGACTGAGTGGCACTCCCCCTGTGGGAGCGCACTGACCACCAGGGGGCAGCTCCTACATTGAGCATCTGCCCCCTGGTGGTCAGTGAGCATCATAGTGACCAGTCGTTCTGCTATTTGGTCCATTTGCATATTAGGGTTTTATTATATAGGATGACAAAGAAAATGGAAAAGAATTTGGGGTTTAAGAAGTATTAAAAAGAAACCTAAGAGATATATTAGAACTTGATAAAAAATTGATAAGGATAAAATTAAGACAATTTCCACACATTGTACAGATGAAGTTAAAAAAAAAATGTAATTTTGTACAGCAAAAGTTTTCACTCCCTTCACTAACACATTTCAACTTGGGGACAAAACAAAAGCATGCCAGTGGCGTGGTTTCCTGGGCCTAAGGAACGACGATAGCACACTGAAAGGAAGGTTAGTAAAGCACAAAGAAAAAGACTACTTTGAGGTCTAAGCTGAGCAGAGACAAAACTGAGTTCTGAAGTCAGGTGGAAAACTAGGGGCAGGAGGTCATTTTATTTATTTTTTATTCTCTGGAATATTTCAATAGGATGTGAACTCTTTCCTTCAGCTAAAACACCACAGAATAAGAAAACTAAACTAAATTTTTCAAATCAGTGTCCTTTGCCAGGGGTGATTTGGATGAGAAATAATTGCCAGAAAATAGCAGGGATTTACTATAAATTTCCCTACAATTGAGAGTGGGACAGGAAGCTGCATACAAACCAACTGCTCAGTGTGACAGTGGGCCATAGAGGCCTTGTCACTTGGACAAAACAAGTACATTCATTGGGGACTATTTATTCAATGGGGATGTGGCCAAGGAAATAGCATAAGCAATATGGGGGAGGGAGGGTTATAAATGACTCCATGAAAATTTAAACATGCTTGAATATGCCAGCATATTTTAGAAAATAATGACTCAGTGATAACATTTACACTAAAATATCCATTTATACATTAGATGTGTCAATTAGCTTAAGTGTTAAAAAAATAAAGGATCCTCATGCTGTATCAAACTGCACAGTACCTGGCTCATAGAAAGCACAACATATCTTTGATTTATTTCATAATTTGAAGCCAACTGTGAAGTTGCAATTTTCCATTTGTCTTGGCAAGAAACTTGACAATTTGTTCTCCCCAAAGGCTCAAAATCTAATTACACCATCCAGATCATTAAAAGTCACACATGCTGTCCTGAAGGGATAGAGGGTGGAGTGCAATGAGAACTACCCCCATTAGAAGTGCCTATGACAGGGGAGGCGGTGTCACCGTGTTTCCTCAGCAGGCCTTCCTTTTCCCCTTGGAATAGGCCTTCCGCAACCCATCCATCAGGAGAATTTGTCGTGTGACTAGCAATTCGGGCCGTACAGAGATAATCAAACCCTTATAAATCGGGTGATAACAAATAAAGCCTGCCAAGTGGGACCGTTAACAGAGCACTCGCATTTCAGCACTGCTGGCCTGCAGTGGAAAGCGTGTCAGTGATGAAGAGGGGAGGTAAAAAGAGAAAATATCAGCGAGGGGCGAGTGTACTAAGTCTCAGGAACGGAGAGTGTGCCAGATGCTTAGGGTCCTCTGGGAAGGAAACCTTAGACACCATTGAATGAAGGGTCTGTGTAAAACCCCCAGCCCTCACTGTTCACTGCTTTGAGCTGTGCACTGAGCCGCAATGCCAGCAGGAAGGCCCCTCTTGCCTGTGTTTGGGTATCCCAGTCGCTTCGGGGCATGCATCCACTTTCCTACCAGTCTTACTTGTCTCATCCTCAATAAGAAGGGTGGCGATTTCAGCTGCGTGACTTTATATCCAGGCTAGGAGTGTTCAATGAAAGCCTGGACAAAGGGACTTGAAGGGAATTGTGAAGACATGTGGAGAAAATTATCTTTCTTGATAAAAAGAAATAGGTTGCCTCTCTATATGTTGATATTGCTGTGAAAGGACATACTTCCCGAGGCACCTGCAGTTATCTGGAAGCCAATGGAAGGGGACAAATAACAGACTGAAGGTAGAAAAGAGTAAAGGCAGGAGGAGCCTGGAATTTGATTCCCCCATTGATCTGTTAGCTACCCCTAGAAGCACCCAAGTTTCGCTCTTTTTAATGTGAGTAAATGAAGGCTCTTATCATGTAAGCCAGAGCTTCTTAAAGTGCGTGCTGCATACAAACCATTTATGTATCTTGTTACCATTCAGTTTCTGACTTAGGAGGTTTAAGTAGTACCTGAGAGTCTGTGTTTCTGGTCAACTCTGAGTGATGTCCAAGGTGCCCACATATTGGGTCACTAGTATTTAAAACACTTCTACATTTATTTAGTTACTTGAAGCCAGATGCATACTGTATGGTGACACAGAAAAGCAAAGGACTTGAATGTTAAATCTAACCTAAAGATGAGCACAATGAACCTTAGGAATTCACCAGCTAAAATAATCATAGATTGTAATCATAGATGTGTGCATGGACTTTGAGGTCATCACGGTCTGTGTTCAAATCCTGATTCTGAAATTTATACGCTGTGTGACCCTGTTGGAACATTATTTGGCCTCTCTGGATCTTGATTTCTTCATCAAAGAACATCACCTTCCATTCATCCATTCACAGGGTTGCTTTGAAGAGTAGTTGAGATAATGTGATAAAAAGCCTAGACATTGAACAAATGTGTGTTCCTTTCCTATGATGCTACTAGAGGCCTGGTGCACAAAATTCTTCAAAATCCTTGCACCGGAGGGGGGTGGGGTTCCCTCAGCCCAGCCTGCGCCCTCTCGGAGTCCAGAACATCACTTCACAGTCCGGGATCGCTCGCCCCTTACTGCCTGCCTGCTTGCTGCTCCTTATAGCTAGGCTGCTGCTCCTTAGCGCTGCTGCAGAGTGGGAGAGGCTCCTGCCACCGCCACCGCTGCTGCACTCACCATCCATGAGCCCAGCTTCGGGCTGAGTGGCACACCCCCTGTGGGAGCGCACTGACCACCGGGGGCAGCTCCTGCATTGAGCGTCTGCCCCCTGGTGGTCAGTGAGCATCATAGCTACTGGTCATTCTGGTCATTCCGCGGTAATGGTCGCTTAGTCTTTTATTACGTAGATTGGCAGTATGAAATTCTGTATTTGCAAGCTGCAATCATGCCAATGATTTAAAATGGTGCTAGGCTTGATAGAAAAGGACAGGTGTAGTCATCAGCACAGACACTCCTTGTAATCAAGATGCTGTATCAAAAGCCTGTCATGCTAGCATTAGACTATCTTAAATTTGATTGAGAGTCTAATAGAAAAATAATAAAAATTGTTCTTTGATATGACTTATAAATCCTTTTTAAAAACCTTCCTACCTTGCCTCTGATGAGAGAAAAGATTTTTGAATTTGCAGCCTCTCTCTTCCATAATTGCTGAAATATTGCCAAATAAAATGAGTGTAGATCTGATCAGTTGTCAAAAAAATCTGTTGCCTATAGCAGGGGCCCTCAAACTTTTTAAACAGGGGGCCAGTTCACTGTCCCTCAGATCGTTGGAGGGCCGGACTATAGTTTAAAAAAAAAACTACGAACAAATTCCTATGCACACTGCACATATCTTATTTTGAAGTAAAAAAACAAAACGGGAACAAATACAATATTTGTATTTGCATGTGGCCCGCGGGCCATAGTTTGAGGACCCCTGGACTATACTGATAGAAAATTGTGAGGAATGCAATTTTCCTAAGTCAAATTGTAAATAGGATTGTGGATGTCAGAGAAGCTTTTAAATATCACAACATGCTTTCTGGATTTGCAGTGTTTGAAGACCAGGTGATCTGCTCATGTTTACAAGCCCGGTGCTTTGATCAACACAATGTTTTAAATGCCTCTAGGAATAATTTTGGCATGTAACTGGCATAATGCCAGAGCAAGGGATTTTACTAATGACTTCCCAGACATAGTTGTGGTTTTCTGGGCAAAGGTTCCATGAATAGGAATAACTCTTACACAACTTCAACAGATATATTTTCTTGATATTAGGGGATGCTTGTAGCTTCCATGTAGCTACCATGCTACACTGGGCTGTTATTTAGCTTTTAGTATTACTGCTATTGAACACTCTCAAAAATATCTGGAACTATATGTTTAAATACTCAGACTCCATTCTTACATGGGTGAACATGGGTTAAAACCCTGCTTATTGAAGGAGTGCTGAGGAGAATAATGGCTGAGAACATGGGCTTCCATGTTCGCTGGAGCTAAGGTTTGGGCTATTTACCCATTAGTTAGGTAAACGTGGGTCAAGTTCCAGTCTTTTCTGAGACTCAGTTTCTTATCTGTAAAGTGGGAATAATAATACCTATTTTAGGGCATGTGGAGAAGATTCAATTTGATAATGGAACATGGAGCACTGAGCACATGATTGGTACTTAGTAAGAGTCTAATAAATTCTAGATAGAAACAGCTTATTGAAACTTGAATGAAAGCAAGTCTTTATTGTCACTTTATTTCTTCGTCCTATAATAGCCACAATGGTAAGCACTTGTGGCAATAAGGGACTTGCCCAGAAAGTGGAGCCGAGTCAACAGCTGATGCACGTGTAGTTTGCGTAGGGACGTGATTTTAGGAAATAGGCGTGGGGGATTGAGAAGAGTGAAATGTGAGAGAACTAGAAAGGTATGCAGGTGTGGGCAGCTGAGATTCATGGGCCTCCCAAGGACCATGTAGACTGTCTGAGAGAAGAAAAGGAGGAATATATAGTCTCCTGCTCCTGTCTTCCATTAGTTGGGTTTGAATGGGGGCATTAACACCTTTATATAGGTTTGCAGTGTGTAAGGGATGAGTTCATTGGTTCCAGCAGACAAACTTAGTATCAGAGAATCCCCAGAACAGGAAGTGAAAGATGGAGCACAGCTGAGGAGTCAGGTTTTATTTACGCAATGCTCATTCCTGCAGATGTGAAGGTGGGGGGCATGGGAGGAGAGACAAACCAAGTATTTCAAACATGATTCTAGAAGCCATGTGCTCTTACTGTGATTTGAGAGCAAATCCATCCCAGGAGCCCACCATTTGAGGACAACGGCTTAGGCAATTCTCCTTATAGTAACGATCAATATTGCAGTTATATAAGAGATCTACAACTGGCCCCTGCAGGACTCCCGCTGGGAATGATGTCTATGCTAAATATCCAGTCAAGAGAGGCACATCGCAGGGCTGAGATTCAGGTTTAGAAGAGCATTCTTTTCCCAGATCCTGTCAGGAAATCCAAACTGATCAGCAGCCACTTCTTCATCTATAGGTGTTGAGTTAGAGCCCTACATGGAGGGAATTAGTGAAACAATACTTTTGCCTTCCAAAATAGGTTCAAAACATTATGTGTTTATCTCCGTGGATGATTTAATAGCGTTTACCTGTTTCATTTTACAGTTTGACTTGACATTTTTTAACTTTAAGGGGAAAATGTCACTTGGAAAACTTGCTACTGGAGTTCTAGGAACCTCTTGGAATGCATCAGTATACTCAAAACAGCGGGATTATGATCAAAGACAAATGTATAACTGGGAAAGTCCACTTGCACAATCCCTCTAGTATCTGGTGTCTATGTGTTGGAGATCATTCCTTTACCTAAAATGGCATAATTATTTGAACTCAAAATATCACCCAAATGAAAAATGTCCAGCTTCCTATGAAATAGTGTGTCTTCCTTTGAGATCTATTTAGCCTTAAAGGTGAAAGTGGGTTCCAGACAAATGTCTTTCACATTATAAATTGTATTAAATTAATTGAAAAATAGATAAACATTGATAATAATAAAACAGGAGAAGTGATGAACAGTAAAAGGTAAATACGTTTTAAATGTTACTCAAATAGACATTTAAGAAAACCACATCTTTCAGACAACATAATTATTTGCATCATAAAAATCTCTAGTGATTGAAATTTAAAATATTGATTAAAAACCTTCCGTTGGACTTTAAATCAGCTTTAAAAGAAATTTCCATCTTAATAAAATAGGCAAAACTTTCCTTTGAAATATCACAACCTTTTTTTAATGTGTTTACTATTCTTGAGAAAGACCTGAAATAAGTCTTTCAGAAAAGAGCCTTTCTCATTTTAAATTGAATTCAATGAAGCAGTGAGGACACAATTCCAATGCATTCAGAAGAAGAACGGAATATCCCCAAATGACTCACACATTTCCAAATACCCAGATTTGGGGGTTGACAGAATAGGAGCAATTCTGTGACATTTTTAAGTTGCCTCCTGGTCTTCTAATGTCATGTTTACTCAGCCTGTACTAAGGAATTTTTAAAACCACAAAAATATAGTATATTACCTAGATTTAGCTTAACTTTTCCAGACTTTTCGATATCATCTGGACGATCCTTAAAGTAAAGTGCGAAGATACTCTGACTTTAGTCACCAAATTTAATCCCCTCATGACTTACGTTGACTTCAGACAGTGAAGTTTATTTTACTTTCTCAGTTTCTTACTACTGCAAGTTAGCACAGACCAGGAATGAATGTGTCTTGTGCCTTCATCTCAAGTTAAACAGCAGACACTGCTGTTTGTGACCTTTTCATCAATGAATAAAAAATATTTCATTTCTAACTCTAGAAATATTTAAATTAAACAGTAACAGGTGAACTGGGCAGGCACCAAATACTAAATAGGAACTAGCAAAAGAAATAATCCAGCTCTTTGTTTTTACAATGAAAAAGAGAATTGATTCTGAATTGAGGGAGAGAAGTAAAAGGACCAAGTGTTTTTAAAAAAGCCTTCTCCGCCCAAAGAGCAAAATAGTACTCAGTGGCATTGCATTGTTAACAAAAGTTCTTTATCAGAAACTATAATTTAATATTTAAGTATCTAATTTACAAGTGACAAGGTATCATATCCAAATAATTAAATTGCAACTAGAAAACTATTAACCACTAAAAACGATACCAAACACAACCCAAACATTTAGAGAAAAGCAATAGCTAGAATTTGAATTGAAAAAAATGATTCGTCATATTTGGCTCATTAAACAAAGCTTCCATTATAGCCTGTAAAAGAGCATTTCTTCTAGTTCATCAAAAGTTTATCCTTTGTAGCATGAATAACATGTAAAGATAAATTTATTGATTGCATATGCACAAGTGTGTATATATATTGTTCAACACACACTTGTGTGTTGGTTTAACAATATCATATCTACTGGTAACTGAACTTTGGAAGGTGCTGAAATCCATATTTCTACATGACCTTTGACCCATTTAACAATGCTTTTTTTTGTAAACAGAAATTACATAAAATAGCCTCTTTTTATTAACTGAATATTTTCTTATGCATAATAATAGGCAATGAAGGAATTGCACTTATTGTAAAGGTACACTAGAGTGTTAGACTGCTGCTCAGCCACCAAAGATCAGGGACTGTAGTACTGATATGTTGTGCATTGTATTCAAAGATGGTGGCCATTAAAATTAAAATGAGAACAACTAGTTACAGAACAAAGAGGGGATAACTGAAAAAAACATGCACTATTCCTACTTTAATGCAAAACTAATTTCTCCTAAGAAACCAACCATTTGACCTTCCTTACACAAAGAAACAGGTTCTGCACCCTTGGCAAAACAGTAGACTTGGACATCTGTATTCAAATTCTAGTTTATTGTCTCTGAGTGTGCTGTTCCAGTGTCATCTCCTCAAGCTGCCCTTGGAATTCTGCAGCATCTACAATATTACAGTCTCTTGGTTAGATTTCATTGAACCTCAATATCCCCTTAGTTCTATATAGAGTCCATTATTCATCTTCTTCTTCTGGTTCCTGTGGTATCATGGATATTTCTTCCTTTAAGCAATCACTGAAGAATCTGAGGATTGTGCTGTAGAGATGATACTTGCTCTTTTCAGATATGCTATGACCTTCATCTGGATAGACCTAAGATGTTGAGGAGAAAGAAGATTTAAAGTTACCAAAGCAAGTATTGTCCCTCAGAACCCATTCTTTTTCATCAAATGACAAAGAAACTTCAGGTTATAATATCTAACCAAAATCTCAACTAATTCCATGCTGAGTTCTTTATATAAAATTTTTCCTTTTACCCTAACCAGTTTGGCTCACTGGATAGAGCATCGGCCTGTGGACTGAAAGGTCATGGGTTCAATTCCGGTCAAGGGCATGTACCTTGGTTGCAGGCACATCCCTAGTAGGAGGTGTGCAGGAGGCAGCTGATCGATGTTTCTCTCTCATCAATGTTTCTAACTCTCTATACCTCTCCCTTCCTCTCTGTTAAAAATCAATAAAATATATTTTAATTTTTTTTTCCTTTTTTATCATAATAATGTCATAATCAATATTTAAGACAGACTACAATTTTTTATGTATTTAAATTGATATTTATTGGGGGAGATATTAGAGTTTCTTCATAAGTATAAGCTCCTGACCTCCCTTTTCTTAGCCTATTTAATTTAGAAAACTTGAAATTATAAATTCATTCACTGTCCTTTGAAATGGATGTAAATCCTCTTTCAGTTTATTGACAGTTTTACAACCCAGGAAATGTCTTTCTCAAGGACTGGAAACCATCTCTTTGACATATAAGCACTGAAGGGAAAGCACCCCTATCTCACAGTCTCTGAGGGAGGGACTTGTCATAAAGATACAAGAAAGTTTACATTACCTTTTGGTAAAGCCAAATGCAAGTGGACTATGAGTTCCTCCTCCCTAGCTTCAAAGCTTTCTCAGCCCTTTATTTCAACAAAGTTGAATTTAGTCGCTCTCCCTTATTGCAATAGTCTTGAATAAAATCCTCCTTGTTTGTTTAATCTTGTCCAATGGAATTTTTACTTTGACAATATAAAAGACATTAGTGACTTTTCCCCCCAAATACAAATACAAAGGCTGCCACATTAATTCCTGAGTAAAACGTTTTTAAATGGTGCCTTGGTGCCCTCTGAGTAAAGCCACATACTCTTTCGGAGTGCTAACGGTATGGCCCACCATCTGGTTACCTATTCACCTTACCCTGTCTTCATGCTAACACTGGTTCCTTGGTTTTAGATATGTTGAACTACTTTTAGTTCTTCCAAATGTTGAAAAATTACAATTAGTTTTATTTCCTTCTTAACTCTTCCTTCAGACTGAAAGTCCCTTGGTCATATAAAGTATGTCTTATTGACCTATCTAGCTTAATGACTGTTGTAAAGTAAGTTCTTGATAAATATCTATTTAATATGGTTGAAGGCACAGATCTAAATGGTTTTTTAATCTCTCCTTTTTTCTCATAACATTTACTGAAACCACTCCTCCTCCCAACTTTTTAGTATAAGAGTGATGAAAAATGAGGAAAAGACAAAGGGACTAGAAGAAAGGGAATTATTAGTTTAAAAGAATTCATTATCAGTGATTTTGATGCCATTGTAATGATCTCATTATTAATTAACAGGAAAGGAGTAAAGGGAAGACTAGATAACATAGGTATGTCATTTATACAGAGAGCTGTCCTTTGGCACTCTCCAAGGCTGTTCCCTACAGATTGATGCGGGGAGGGACTGGGCAAGACAGTTTGGACGCATGCCCAAAAAGGTCTGAGTGACGCGAGAAGATGCTTACCTATCTGTCCAGTCACACCTGGGAATAGGTAATTAGCAGGAATAGGCATGGCCACTGCAGGGGCATGAAGCCTGAATATTTAAACTTCTGAACAAAAGGGAGTTCCCTCACTCCTGGCTCTTGGCTCTTAGCTCTTGGCCCTTGGCCCTCTTGGGACTCCTGCTGCAGGCGGCACATTCCCCTGCACTTGCCCATGTAGCCCACAGCCATGTGAGCTCCACATAATGGCCTGATGGACTTTAATTAGCCTGGACTCTGAACTGGGCCCGCTGCAACATGGAACAGAAGCTCTGGACACTGGCTCTGCTTTTGGCTTTGCTGAACCTACAGCTGCCCTCTTTCAGGACTGGCTTGATGGAAATGGGGCATTAGAAACTGAGGAATGTAATCCAAGCAACCAAAGTCTTCTAAGGCATCTCGTTCTCCCATGAGGCCTCTGAAAGTGCTCATTTCAGCAGTGCCCCAAGAACGCCCTCCCGCCAGCACTAGAGAAATTCCACTCATGTATTCCTCCCATAGCAGCATGAATAAAAGTCTCAGGAGAAAGACATTGCATCCGACTATTACACAACTGTAAAGCATGAGCTGATCCACATTCTCAGCACAATTAAGAAAAAAAATAAATCAATCTTTGGTAGCTACAAACACAGTAAAAATAATAGCATTGGGGGATGGAGTAGCACAGAAGTTGTGTTCTGATCTCGCAACTAAAAAACCTAGGTAGGAAACCACATTAACACATCTTCTAAAAAAGTGGCTTACCTGCATAGTATAATTCACTTCAGCTTTTATTAGGTGTTTTATTAATTCTGCTGAGTGCTGGAAATGAACTTTTGCTGCAAGAAATTAAATTGTGACATTTGAAGAAATATGTTTATAAGGATAAGAACATTTTATGTCTTTTTTCCCCAAAAAGATTAAATATTTTACTTTACATACATTGCACATTTAAAAGACTTACACCTGGCTATGATAAAACTTTGAGTTTCCCTTTATAAAAAAATAAACTGAAACGGGAGCTACTAGGAAGGCTCTACTTGTTATACAGATGTTACTTAGACTTACTTTATTGGTTATCATTTATCATTTTTAATTGTACACATTTTATACCATTATAAGAATTTTAACATAATGAATACTTGTCTGGATAATAATAATACAGCAAACCAATTTCTGTTCCTTTCTGAGGATGATCAGGGACCAATCTCAGTGAGATACTGGCATTCTGTTTCATTTTAAATTAGAAAAGAATACCCCATGTTGAGAAAAGAGAGTACACATCTCCTTATTCAAAGGCTAAATATTTAATGCGGATCATGCTGGTTCTCCCCTTTCCTTCTAGCTTCCTTCTGCCTGACCCTAAAGGTCCAAAACTGAAGTAAGCAGCACAGCAGGCCAGGCAGAGAGTAGCCCTGGCCCTAACCAGCTTTGAACACTTGGAGGAATCACTCAGATCTCCGTACAGCACTTTGCGCACATGCTGCCTGCGCCGTTCATTCCGACGCAGTGTACCTCTTCAAATGTCTGTAAATAACTTTTAAGCTAGCGTTTTTAACCTGTCTTTGTAAAACTAGGGCAGGATTATCAATAGTTTAAGATCCTTCATAACTCTAATTCTATGATACTGAATAATACTACTACCTAGCAGAAAATAAAAGCTTCCTAATGGTCATTTCAATCTTTTTAAAATCTACCCAAGGTCTTTTCCAACATCTTCCTATTGTAGTTAGTGGGGAAGGACCGTGTCATCTTTGAAGAAGCTTACGACTCGCTCTGTAACTTTAAGCTACTAGAAATGCTAATGAAGAGGAGCAGTAGCCAAGGTAAAATGACTCTCAATTTGTTTACTGTAGGATAACGTTTTGGAAAGGACCCACCATTTCCTGGTATGGATAAAGTTGAAAGATACATGTATAGACTAGAGGCCCGGTGCATGCAATTCGTGCACTGGGAGGGGAGGGGGCGGGGAGTCCCTCAGCCCTGCCTGCACCCTCTCCAATCCGGGACCACTCAGTGGATGTCCGACTGCCGGTTTAGGCCCAATTCCTGTGGGCAGTCAGACATCCCTCCCACAATCCAGGACCAATGGCTCCTAACCGCTCACCTGCTTACCTGCCTGACCACCCTTAACCCCTCTGCCTGCCGGCCTGATCGCCCCTAACTGCTCTCCCCTGTCAGCCTGATTGCCCCTAACCACCTCTGACTCAGCCCCCACCATTGTGGCTTTGTCCGGAAGGAGGACTAGACAACCTGAAGATGTCTGGTCTATCTGGTCTAATTAGCTTATTACCTTTTTATTAGTATAGATGGACTTTCCAAATGGATTGTTTTCCTGTTTAGTTTCTAGTGCGAAGCTCATTGATAATTGTCATTTGACCCCTTCCTAAAACTAAACATTTAAAGTCTAATTGACTGATTGAACTAATTTGCGGGTATTTTTTGAGGAAAACATTAATAATGGTTTATTATAGTGTCAATGACTGAGCCACAAAGCCCATAGGGAGTGTGCATGTGTAGTGTATGTGTGAGTGTGTGTCTGTGTACATAGACAAATACACAGGTGCATTTGCTTTAACGTGATGAGTGTCGAATCTCTGCTTGCATTTTATCAGATGGGCGAAGCATCAAGCCATGACTGAGTCTGACAGGAATGATGATTTACCTCAGTAGCTGCAACGTAGTGATGGAGAAACTTGAATAGCACTAATACACTCTACAGTGATTGTTAGATGTAAAATAATTTAATCCTGAATATAATTTATTGCTGCAATTGAAGCTTCAGAACACAATAAGTAAGATTATCAATGTTGGATTCAAATCCTCTTTCTACGAATCGATACTTGTGTGATTTTCGGCAAGTTATATAAATTTTATAATATTTATTTTCCTAATTTGTTCAATAAGAAGAGTGATAATAACTCTTACAGTATTTTTGTAAAAAACAGGTAAGATGATATTAAAAGTTTTGGGCACATTTTATGACTGTCAGTGACTGCAAGAGCTCTGCTCAGCACTGCTGCTCTGAGTTGCTCTGAGTTCATGTATTCCTCTAAATTCTTCCTGACTATGTGCTATCTGTTGGGTCTAAGCCCTCTGCTGAGGGGCTGGACCGTCTTGGATGCCAAATGGTAGATGGAAAAGCCATGAGAAGTGTGGGTGTATAAGAATGAGTCCTTATTGCAGAAGCCAGTGGCCACATAGTCGTCAGACAAGACAGTCCTTCACAGCAATCCCATATAGGCAGCCATACGCAGGCTGGTAAATACTTATCTTTCCTACACAGTAGCATTAATCTCTGTACCTATAGCTATTATCTGAGCAGCCACATGCTGCCTCTAAATTCACCACCTTGCATTATAGCGGTATCTAAACTCTCTGGCTCAGCAGCTTCTCCCGTCTCTCCTGCCTAGCTCTCACTGGTTAACATGCCTAGCTGGTTAACATGGTAGCTGTATCTGAGCTCTCTATGAGCTCCAGCTCTCAGCTCCTCTGAGCTTTGATCTCTCCTGCACCCATAGGAGCTACATTCTCTGTGCTGACCGCCTCTGCTTCTCACACTAGCTGGTCAATAACCTGTATATTACTCCAGAGACAAAAACGGCTAGTTGCCAACAGTGACATCAATCATTTGGCTATAGAAGGGCACAGCGTACTGTGAGATCGCTGTGGCCTTGCAGTGGTGTATGGTATCTTACTTAACCTAGGCACGGTTAAGTCCGGTGTATTGACAACAAGGCCTCTGTGCTTTAACTGGCCTTGACCATAAGGTGCCTCTGGCATGGTTCCCATAGTGACATATAGTCAATACTTAATAATTGCTACTTATTGTTATTGCTATTATTATTCATATAATATCTTAACACCTTAGAACAAAAGCCTAATGTCCTTCAGAATGTTTATGCTCTCTTTTATCATATTTCACCCAACACAGGTAGGGTATCATGTAGGTTTGGGGAATATTTTTATATTTTATAGTAGTTCTAGATTTTCAGAAACATTACAAAGACAGTACTGAGAGTTCTTGTATATATCTTGCCCAGTTCCCCTATTACTAAGATTTCACATTTTTATGGTATATTTGACAGAACTTAGAAGCATTTAAACATCATGTCTCTTTAAGCTTTTTTGGTCTATCAGAATTTTTAAGGCTTTGTTTTTGGTGACTTTGACAGTTCTGAGTTATTTGATAGAATTTCCTTCTTTTGGGTTTGTCTGATGTTTTTTTCTCATTGTTAGACTGGAAATACGTGTGGTTTTTTTTGTTTTTAATGAAATTACATACATGGTGCATACTATCAAAGTGACTTGTCACTGTTGATGTTAAACTTGACCACCTGGCTGAATGGTATTTGTCAAGTTTCTGTATTCTAAAGTTACTTTTTCTCCCCTTTCTATACAGTGCTCTTAAAGCAAATCAGTAATTTCAATCAGCTCTAAAAGAGGGGAGGAAAGAGAGTTAAGTTTTCCCTCTTTGAAAGGGAATACCTAGATAAATTATTCAGAATTTTATCTAAGGGAGATTTGTCTCTTTTCCACCACTTACCTATTTACTCAAATACATATATAGTATACTGAGCTGAACACTAATTTAACCATGGCCTGACATGCTTGAAAGTTAAACTCAAGGCCTGGTATGATCTTTGCTATGATTCTTTTTTAGTTATATGCTATTTATAATGGAGTAAAAATACTTAGGCAAGGCAGGTTGAACCAACAAAAACAAGTTCAAAATTTAGGAATTATTAATTCAAGGCTTTGACTATCCTTGCTCACTTGCTAGGTAGTGCTAAATAAATTAGTTTCCTCCTTGAAATTGATGTGTGCTTTTTTTTTCCCTCATCTCTGAATGGGGCTATGGATAGTCAGCCCTCTGCTGTAAAGTTTTACACAGAATATATATATATATATATATATATATATATATATATATATATATGTATATATATATATATATGTTCTTTATGTGACTATAAAATATTATTAATTACTAGTAATATCAGTCACGTACATTTCCGATGTTTAATGTGACAAATGAGAGGTGTTAACAATTTAAGTGGGTAGCTGCCTCAGAATTTTATCTCAGTGCTGTCCTATTATTTTCTAGGCTAGTGTCCTGTTGAGGTATGCTAAATAACACCATAGAAGTAGTCACTAGCCACTAAATTAAGTAAAATTAAAAATTCAGGTTTTCAATCATTGTAAACACATGCTTATGAACATATGCTTATGAACCACATGTGGCCAGTGGCTAGTGTGTCCAACAGCAAAGACTGGACATTTCTGTCATCCAAAACATCGTATCGCATAGCGCTGCCACTGAGGATCACACCTTCCTCTATTATTAGTCCTGACTTCCTTTTTCCACTTCCCATCATGCATCAGATTTTGTGCCACTCTGCTCTCTTCTTTAGTAGGTTTATATGGTCCCCTTTGAGCAAGTCCTTGAATGTACCCCTTTGTTCAAGTTCAGACTCCATCAATGACTAGCAGCAAATATAATACTTACTGTCAGCAGTCCCATGAATTATTAATATATTTTCTTCTTTTAAGCCATGGATATTGTGTAGCACACTTGATGCCTAGAAAGGGAAGCAAAAACACCTGTATATATAGTTCTACCTGTATTTACATGTTTACTGAGTTTTTAGAACAGAAATACTTTTCTTTCTTAATTATTTTTAAATTAGTTACCTGGTATGTGCTTTCTTCTTTAGATGGCATACCGAGGTATCTTTCGGAGAAAGCTGAAGCTGTGACCCAAGAAAACAGAAATTTAAGAATAAACTAAAAACAATTGGAATAGAATATTACATTATTCAATTTCTATATTTCACATTTAATTGTCATACTCCAGCAAAATTGATTAAATTAGAGAGAAGATAAACAGCTGTAAGCATCTCTGATAACACATGATAAATGAACTCAATTGAGCTCCTTTGCATTAGGATTTTGTTTTCTACAAATCAATACAGTGTATTAGGTCATTTTATAGAAAGTACTCACCATACAACTTCAAGTCAGTGATGGGTGCAATTACTGATCCACATTTAAAAAGCTTTTCATCTGATTTTAAGATCATTGATGCAACATAGCCACCATACCCCTGGCAAAAAAAATGAAATTATATATATAATTTCTGTAGATATTTTTAGCTTCAATCACTATGTTTGGTGATCCACATATCACGTCTCGTTATGTCCTAACATGAACAAAGAATCCTATATAATAAAAGCCTAATATGCTAAGTGTCCAGTCGTCCAGTAGGCCATTCAACCAAGCAAAGTATAATATGGTAAGGCCACTCAACCGCTCTCTATGACATGCACTAACCACTAGGGGGCAGACACTCTGACTGGTAGGTTAGCTTGCTGCTGGGGTCTGGCTGATCGGGACTGAGCAAGATGAGTTGGACATGCCCTGGAGCCCTCCTGCAGTCCCTCCCTGGCTGACCAACCTCCCACATCCCACCTCAACCCCAGTTGTGCACTGGTGGGGTCCCTTAGCCTGACCTCCACCTTCTCATAATCCAGGACCCCTTGGGCAATGTTTGAGAGCCGATTTCGGCCTGATCCTGCAGGCCAGGCTGAGGGACCCCACTGGTGCACGAATTTGTGCACCAGGCCTCTAGTATACTAATAATACAATTGCTACTAATCTATCCTATCTAATAAAGAGGGGATATGCTAATTGACCTTCATACCATCACAAAGATGGTGGCTCCCACAGCCAGTAAGGAGGGAATATACTAATTGACTGCCCTAACCTCAAAGATGATGGTGCCCACAACCAATAAGGAGGAAATATGCTAATTGACTGTCACACTCTCAAAGATGGTGGTGTCCACAGCCACAAGATGGCTGGCAGGGGAGGGCAGTTGTGGGCGACCAGGCCTGCAGGGGAGGGTAGTTGGGGGGACCAGGCCTTCAGGGGAGGGCAGTTTGAGGTGACCAGGCTGGCAGGGCAGGGCAGTTGGGGGTGACCAGGATGACAGGGGAGGGCAGTTGGGGGTGATCGGGCTGGCAAGGGAGTGGTTAGGCATCAATCAGGCTGGCAGGGTAGTGGTTAGGGGGTGATCAGGCTGGCAGACAGAAGCAGTTAGGGACAATCAGTCAGGCAGGCAGGTGAATGGTTGGGAGCTAGCAGTCCCAGATTGTGAGAGGGATGTCTGACTGCCGGCAGTCGGACATTACCTGAGGGGTCCTAGATTGGAGAGGGTGCAGGCTGGGCTGAGGGACACCCCCCACTCAGAGCACAAATTTTGTTCACCAGGCCTCTAGTTTATTAATAATAAGAAAGGAGCAAAGGGAATACCAAATACTGTAGGCATGTTATTTGGGCAGCTTCAACAGGAAGTTACAAATTTATACTCCCTAGGATTCCAATGGAGGGGAGAGAGAAACATGCCCAGTAAAGCTGGGGTGACATAGGGAAGATACTTGTCTGTCAATCATATTTGGGAACAGGTCATTGGCCAGAATAGGCATGGCCATTTCAAGGGTGTAAAATTTTAGGTATTTAATCCCCTAGGAATGCCCTCTCTTGGGCTCTTGGTTTCTCTTGTGCTCTTGTGTTCTTGGCATGTTGCATTCTCCTGCATTTTCCCACATGGCTCACAGTCATGTGGCCTCCACACACAATGGACTAAGGGACCGCAACTAGCCTGATGCTGAACTGACCCAGCTGCACCATGGGAGGGAAACTCTGGGCACCAGCTTTGCTTTCAACTATACACTTCTTGCAGAACTAAACTAAGGGAAATGGGACTTTGGAAATCCAGGGATATAATTCCACACAAATAAAAATCACTCACTCTCATGAGTGAGTCTCAGAAAATTATTTTTCTTGAAATATGATAAGAACACAAGTCCCAGCCCCAGACCCAGGGGGAAATGGATATCCAAATTTCCCTGGTAACACAAAGACCACTTTGTACACATAAAATTTTGAAAATAGTTGTTTAAATTTTTATAGAACATTATTTTAATAATTTTAGGTAAAATATAAAATTAATCATATAGCACCAAGTGTCAAAGGTTTGCTCTTTAATTTCATACCAAATACTTGTAAACTGCCCAAAATAATTTGAAGCTATGCAAATACAGCACTTATTAAATCAGATATCATTTTAGGCAAGCCAGATATCTATATATATAAAAGTCTAAGTGACTGGCTGGTAGTTTGACATGCACTGACCACCAGAGGGCAGATGCTCAGTGCAGGAGCTGCCAAGCAACAGCAACTTTGCAGATTGCCCTCTCACACTCTGGGACCCCTCGGGGGGATGTCAGACTGCCGATTTCAGCCCGATCCCCACAGGCCAGGCTGAGTGACCTCACCTGCCGTAGGGACCCTGCTCACTCAGCAGACGCCCTTTGAGCCCTAGCTGGAGATTGACCGTGGGAGGCTGGTTTCAAGGCATGTCTGGCCCATCTCACCCAGTCGCGCCCTGCTGGCCACCTTCTAATTAGTTTCCTTTAATGTGCACAAATTCATGCACTAGGATGAATATATGTATATATATATATGAAACCTAAAATGATATATGATTTAATGAGTGAGATATATATATATATATATATATATATATATATATATATATATATATATATTTAGTAGATCATTTAATAATGATGGCTATGTAGAATTAAGAAAGCATAATTAAATATTTAAAATCTATTATCATACATGCAGATTCTGACCCAGCCAGTGTGGCTCAATAGTTGAGCATCCACTCATGCACCAAGAAGTCACCAGTTCAATTTCTGGTCAGGGCAAATGCCAGGATTGGGTGCTTCATCCCCAACAGGGGCTGTCCAGGAAGCAACTGATCGATGTTGATGTTTATCTCTCCTTCATGTTTCAATCCCTCTCTCCCTTCCTCTCTTTCTAAAAATCAATTTAAAAACATTTTAAAAATAAAAATAAATAAATGAATATAGATCCTGCTTTCAATTTCATGCAACTAAATATTTGAAGGAAATGAGATATGGTAAATAATGTTGCTACTTAGATGAGTTGGATTATTGTTTAAATTTAATTTTAAAATACCATCTTGAAATTTTTTAAACTAATTTATTTATAAATTCTTAAAACATAAATCAAGATGGTCAACTTTCTTTTGTAGTCCATGAGTTGACCAGAAAAGGTACAAAAGAGATTTTAACAATTACAGTAATACCGGGCTCAGGGAATTAACTATTAATTTTAGAAATTAATTTTAATCTGTGCTCTGGGAAATGTTCCACATCTTGCTGTACATTAGAGTATCCTAGGAGGTATTAAAAAATATTAACACCCAGGTCTTAGCACTAGGAATTCTGGTGCAATTGGTTCATGATGAGTCTACTTTTAAAAGATTTCTAGATGATTCTAGTGTAGTTTAGTGCTAAAGTAATCTAGTATTTTCACTGAACACTTGATATAATAAGTACAGAATTTAATTTATGCTTATTTGAGACATCATTTAAATATTGATACATAAAAAAGTATAAAATGCAGTCAGACATTAATGAAATGGCAAAGAGAATGTATGTTAAGAGTAGCAGAATATTCCACTCAAAAATGTTCCACAATGGCATATCGGTTATTTTGAGCTAGAGATACGTAAAAAAACAACAAATGCAGGGAGAGGATTTCTCTGAACTCTCATAAAGACAGGTCTTCCAACAAGAACTCAATTGTTATAGATTCCTTCCCCAGGAATTCCATCAATCAGGGAAGACTAACTCTTGTCATAAAAGAGGAGAATAAAAGTTGACAGAAAAAAATTTGCCACAAACTGCATCTCCCATCTATTCTGCTAATGTCCTATTCATCTTTCTTACCAGTCATTTATCTCTCCTAAAAGACCTATATCTCTTCTCTTGTTTCCCTATGAAGATGATAATTTATTTCTGGTTGCTGTGGCTCAGTGGTTGAGCATGGACCCATGAATCAACTAGGAGGTCACAGTTGGACTCCCAGTCAGGGCACATGCCCTTGTTGTGGGCTCTATCCCCAGGAGGAGGTATGCAGGAGGCAGCAGATCAATGATTCTCTTCATCATTGATGTTTCTATTCCTCTCTCTCCCTTTCTCTTTCTGAAATAAATAGAAACACATTTTTTAAAAAACTGGTAATTTAAGCCTGAATTCTAAGCCACCTCAGAGACTGACTCATTTTTCCCTGGGTATCTCCCATGTAAACATGAGGTATAAATGTCAATAAACATATTTTTATTATTCTCTTGTTAATCTGTCTTTTATTACAGGGTATCTTAGCCAATAACTCAAAAGAGTAAAGGGGAAATTATTTTTCATCCCCACATATATCAATTTTTTACTTGTATATTCACCTAGCACCCAGAAGCTTGAGCAAAGCTTCCTCCAAAATAAGGAGATAAGTGAAATAAAATTACCCTTTATAGAGTGAAACCACCAAGAGTGTTTTTGCTCAGTCCTTTTGAGAGATAGAAAAATAGCTGTTGATTAGCAAAATTTAAAAGTAGCAGGCTTAATTGTGCTATCACATCTAAAGAAAGAAGTGGAGCCCAGCTGGTGTGGTTCATGGGTTGAGCCATGAACCAAGAGGTTACTGGTTCAATTTCTGGTCAGTGCATATGCTCAGGTTGTGGGCTCAATCACCTCTCATTGATGTTTCTACCTCTCTATCTCATTCCCTTCCTCTCTATCTAAAAATCAATAAAAACATAAAGAAAGAAGAAAGAGAGAGAAGAAAGAAAGAGAGAGAGAGAGAGAGAGAGAGAGAGAGAGAGAGAGAGAGAGAGAGAGGAAGGAAAGAAGGAAGGAAGGAAGGAAGGAAGGAAGGAAGGAAGGAAGGAAGGAAGGAAGGAAGGAAGGAAGGAAGGAAGGAAGGAAGAAAGGAAGGAAGAAAGAAAGGAAGAAAGAAGAGGGGTGGGGAAATAATTTCTTCCTATCCTTAATTTTTGGCTGAAATGCCTTGTAATAGATATTAATAAGAGAAAAACAAGCACAAGGGTTTTTGTTTGTTTGTTTGTTTTTGTTTTTGTTTTTAACATGTATACCTCATGACTATATGGGAACTAACCAGAGACACTGAGTAATTCTGTGAGAAAGCCCAGGCCACCACCTTAAATACCTTCTTCAATGAAAGAAGATATTGGGAGAGGTTAGTTCTAAGAAGTAACCCAGAAAAGAACCCTAAACAAGGATAGGGCTTGTTATGTAAATTTAAGTCAGTGCCTTCTCCATTGCTAAGAATTTCTTATGGTTTAGAGCAATGATGGCGAACCCTTTGAGCTCGGCGTGTCAGCATTTTGAAAAACCCTAACTTAACTCTGGTGCCCTGTCACATATAGAAATTTTTTGATATTTGCAACCATAGTAAAATAAAGACTTATATTTTTGGTATTTATTTTATATATTTAAATGCCATTTAACAAAGAAAAATCAACCGAAAAAATGAGTTCACGTGTCACCTCTGACACGCGTGTCATAGGTTCGCCATCACTGGTTTAGAGTCATCTTTCTCTTGTTGGTACAGAGAGGGAGACACGAATGGAGATGTTCTTTATAAATGTCAATGTCTCTTATAAAAGAGTAACTTCTACTCTGTCTGTTTTCAGAGTAGAAGGATCTGCTGTTTCTTAAAAACAATCAACTCAAAATTATCTTTGGCTAAAGAGACATAGTCTGGTGTGGCATCTTCTGCTCCTTCTCAGAGGTGTGAGAGGGCACGATGAGTCAAGCAGAGCAAGTAAAGAGCCACTTAGCCCGTAAGAGTGCTGTCCCTAGGAAAGCATTGTTAGGGGATCATCAGAGAGATGAGCAAGGGTGTCACAGCCAAGAGGTTTCAAGTGCTTCCCACCTAGCAATGCTATCCCCACCTTGAGAAATGCATTGTAGACGATCACATCCTAGGTGATAACTTTTCGGGTTCTAATTCCACAAATGCCCTAACAAACTTCCACTGATTATGATTTAGTTGTTTATATATATATATACTTTACCACTTTAAGAAAATAGTTGAGTATTGCAGTCCACAGAACTGTATACCACATATATAAATAATATAAAATAATAAATTGGTGTTATGTTTTTATGTTGGTTTGTGTGTGTGTTTACCTCAGTTTAATATGATTCTTAGAAGTTAATTTTCTTCAGGAACTAAGAAGAATGGTGCCTTCTAAAGAAGGAGCAGATCCTAGAAAAATGCTTCTCAACTGACATGTTCATTCAAAATGCCTGCAAATCTTAATAAAATGTATATTTGAATTCAGTAGATCTGGTGTGGATTCTAGCAAGAATTGGCAAGAAACTCCAGGGCATAGCTATGCTGCTGGTTCACATTTTGAATAGCAAGTCCTTGTAGCATAATCTACACTAAAAAAGGCCTATGTGGTCCTGACACCCTCATGCCGTGATGCCCTCATGCCGTAACGAGCGATCACCAGGAGGCTGCCTGTGCAGTGGGTGCGTGTGGGTGGGTGGGGGCTTGACGCTGCGTGCGGGGCATGGAGGCAGGCCCAGTGGCTCTGTGCAGCGAAGCTGGGAGTCCCGCGGCTTCGCGCGGCACAGAGGAGGGACCCCTGGCTCTGGCCTACCTTTTTGGGGCAATCCATCGAGGAACCCTGGATGGAGGGCCAGGGCCTACCTCTTTGGGGCAATCGATCGATCGCAGGGCTCCCGCACTGTGAGAGGGCACAGACCAGGCTGGGGACACCACCCCCCTGAGTGCACAGATTTTGTGCACCAGGCCTCTAGTATAATAAAGAACAAACCAGAACATCTTCCTACCTTCAGACAACATGCCCTAGACCAGCGGAACTTCAAAAAATATATCAATGCTCTTGAAAACAATTCAATCTGTGGTGATGGGTTGTGGAGCTCTCCATGTGATTCTCAAGTGAAACTAGGGTTGCATATCATTGCTGCTACACAAAGAGTTGTATTTCACTATTTTTAATATGAAAATTTGAGACCAGTGAAGCTAAATACTCTTTAAGACTTAATGATAGTGAAAGCTATTGAACATGATTCTCTCTGTACCATTTAAGAACCTAATCAAACATGCTGCTTTAATTTAATTTACTTCAGAGAAATAACTTCTATTTCAAAACAGCTCACATCTATCAGAAAGATATCAAAACTGGTGGCCATCACATGGACTCTATAGTCAATTAGAGGAAGTTTTTCATTTGATTTAAGTAAAAAAGTCAATAATCAGTATAGGCTGCTTTGTTTCAATTCTGCTGTCTTTTTGTTGGTTACTCAGTGATGAGATTGTTCCATTCATTACAATTATTATGTCAGTTTCATTTGCCACATATTTTCGCATTTCTTATTAAATTTTAACAAATTTATTTTATTTTTATAAAATCTTGCTTACCTATACTAGTAGAGTATTTGTGGAATATTGAAATAAAATTAGAATCTTAGCTGGCTTGGTTCAGTGGATAGAGCATCAGCCTATGGACTGAAGGGTCCTGGGTTCGATTCCAGTCAAGGGCACATGCCCAAGTTACAGGCTCAATCCCCAGTAGGGGGCATGCAAGAGGCAGCCGATCAATGATTCTCTCTCATCATTGATGTTTCTATCTCTCTTTCCCTCTCCCTTCCTCTCTAAAATCAATAAAAATATATATTTAAAAAAATAGAATAAAATTGGATATAAATGCCCAGAAGTTTTGTTTGTTTGTATATTTTTTAAATGCTGGCTGAAGTTTATCCCATCCCTTTCCCTCTAATATACATGCAATAGTTTTAGAATGCATGCATTTATTAATCATTGTTTTCCTTCTGTTTACAGTTTAACATTACAATAAGTAAAAAATAGGTAAGGTTAGTCTAAAATCTACATTATTTGATAGAAAAAAAACATTCTTAGAAACACTATCACTCTATTTCTTAATTAGCTTACATGCTTTCCAAATCTTAAAGATTGAGCTAGAACAAATTATACACAAAACAAAAAATATTGACCAGTTTCTTACAGTTCACTATTTTGGCATTCTGAAGCTCAAAAGTGAAATGTACCTCAGAACTTCTAAGTAAGTTTCATTTCTGCTGGCAAAGTAAATTATAATGGATGGAGTTAGCCAGCTAGCTGGATGATGTAGATGTAGATGTAGATGTAGATGTAGATGTAGATGTAGATGTAGATGTAGATGTAGATGTAGATATAGATGTAGAAATGGATGTAGATGTAGATGTAGATGTCAATGTAGATTCAGATATAGATATAGATACAGATGAAGATATGTAGACCATAAAAAAAATTTATACCAAAAATAAAAAGCAGGAATTGGACATTTAATCAAATATTGCTGAATGTAAAGGAAATAAGTTGATCAAAGATGGTGAATTTCTGGCCCTAGTGCTGCCATATACCCTTTCTTTCCCAGTGATTATGTTTGCCTATAATCAATGATAGTAAATTTATTTCAGGTTCTCCAAACATGTTCTCCTTCCTGAATCTGGCATCTACATCAGACTATACTCCTTGCCCTCTATTTGCTGAATAATGTTTACCATCAGTCCATGCCCCACTATCTTCATGAGGCTGTTTAAACCTTCTGAATATGTTCTAAATTTCCATACTAATGAATGCTCCTACAACTCATTTGGCCTTTGATGCCTGTTCTTGTGTGCAGCAAGTAGAGTGCTGAAATACAGAAGCCCTGAGTCCTTTGTAAGCTGTTGCATATATCATGAGCATTAAAGAGTATAATGATCTCCACTAGATGCACTTCCATGGGGAGGGGGTAAAAAATAGCATAACATTTACTATCTTAAGTACTTTTAAATGCACAGTTCAGTAGCATCAAGTGTCTTCATATTGTTGTGAAACTGATGTCCAGAACGCTTTCATCTTGTGAATATGAAATTCTACGCCCATTAAACAACTGCTCTCCTTTTCCCCCACCCCTTAGGCCCTGCCACCATAATTGTACTCTTTCTCCATGCATGTAACCACTCTAGATGCCTCACATAAAGGGAATCACATAGTATTCATCCCTCTGTGCCTGGCTCATTTCACCAAGTCCAATGTCTTCAAGGTTCATCCATGTTGGAGCATGGGACACGATTTCACTATATGCACATTTTAATGTAGCTAGAGTTCCCATTCTTTTGAAATGACCACTTTCTTCGACATTTTTGTTTTTTCACCAATACCTTTACCGCTAATGAGGGCATTTCATTTATTTGTTTGTCTGCATTTATATTATAGGGATATTGTTCACAAAATATTTTTATTGGTTCCTTGAATATTACTGACAACCAGAGTTAAATACAACAAAGACATGGTGCATTGCAGGTATCTGAAGTGGGGGAGGACATGTACGCCACCGGAAAATTACCAATTATTTTATGGCATGTGTCTCTGGGTTCACTTAGGAATAGCTGAAAATACTCAATATTTAAATCCATGAGCACCAATAATTTGCTTTGTCTAGAATAGTACAAGAGTTCTTTCTTTCATCTCTGTATCCTTATAACATCTGGCCCAGAGACATATTTATATACCTACATGAGGTAGGTATATAAATACCTACATGAGGTAGATTTTATTACTCTAAAAATTATGTTGGATCTGAAATAAACATTATTGCTATAAGAAGTATTGTGCAGAAAATACAGGAGACATAACTATGCATTCGGTCATCCTTCAGATTCTAAGCCATGTTCGTCTTTCCAAAGCTTGCAGTTCCTGCTGTGCCTTAAGCTATCTCTATGACTGCCTCCCTTTGATTATTTATGTCCCAGCCTAAATATCACTTAATCAGAGGGCTCAATCTAATAACATTGGTCTTTCCTGCAGTTAACTTTGATCCATTGATTTTTTTATAAGATTTATTGTCATATGAAAATATTTTTTTATTTATTTTTTTACTATCTTTTCCTCCTCTAGAAGGTAAGCTTCATAAAAACAGAGCTCTTTTATGTCCTGTTGTTATTTTAACACCAGGCACTAGATACTAATAAATAGTTGGTTAACACATTATTGAATGCATATATTTAGTAATTATAATATTATATTCTAAAGAATGATATACATAATTTAGAGTAAATTGAGGAAAGTAATTATACATACAGAAACACACACACAATTTTTCTACTATTTACCTTTCCAAAAATGCTTAATCTATTGGAGTCAATGTATGGTAGTTTCAGTAAAAATCTGCAGTGAAAAAGAAAAAAAAAATGTTATATCTTCTTGAGTTAAATGCACATGGAAATTCATTCGTGGCACACACACAACACAAGTCAAACTAGAAATACTTTTGTGGCTGCAGCTCTATTGATGTATAAAAGCCATGTATTTCAAAATCTTGCCAAAGTGATGGTCGAATAATTTGGGTAGCACCTGGTAGCCTGCTAACAAATGCAGACTATTGGGTCCCCTTGAAGACCCTTGGGCCCCATTTAAGATCCTTGTGCCCCATTACAGACACACTGAAATGACATCTACATTTTAAAAATATTCTTGCCTATTTCTATGTGCAGTTTTAAAGAACCTACTAGATTTCTCAGGTCATTCTTTCATGTCAGTGTGGTAATTGTAACTGTGAAAGCTCAGGAATTGTTAATGAACTAAAGAAATAATAGACATTGTGAATTATGATTAAAAAAAAGAACAGCATAATTAAGATCTTTCATTTTCATAAATCCAAAGTGAATTCTAATTCCACAGAGGAAATATGATAATTATTTTATTGTGGTGCTAAGAAAGAAAGGTACTTGAAAAATGCAATATTCTATGTGCTTAACTTAGAAAATTGTGTAACAACTAAAATACAAATATGTGAGTCAGCACCCACCGCAATATATATCATTTAGCTAGCACTGATCTTTATAGAGAAAACAACAGGAATATGTGCAGCCACTTACTTCACAGCTGTTATTTGGTCCTTTACTTCCACTGAACCTAACCTTCGATGAATCTCCTGCAAAATTTTCAGGCCCTGGAATCCACTTCCTCTGCCATCAAATCGTGCAATGATGATGCTATCTGTGTCGACAAGTACTGAGTCCCAGTCAATATGGAACTTATCTGTAACCAGCTGGCTTCCTGGTTCTTCATCCCTGCAATACCAACATTGGGCCAAAACAAGAGCAATTGCCAACCTGTTAGGAATTTTAATGTTCACCCTTATTAGCTAACAAAAATTATGGAAAAGAGGTATGATGGCTATTAATCTATTAATTCTTGATGATAAACTTGAAGCTTTAAATTCCATTTTCAATTGTAAAATTTTAAATGAAAATTTCTGTGAAAATACAAAATAAGATTTAAAACTGTGCTTGAAAGATTAATTTAACTCATTTTTCAAAAGGGAAAAATGACAAAATAGATGTATATTTTCCATTGGCATTTATACGGAGTGATAATCAAGTTTACATGCAAGCTCATCTTTATTAGGTATCTTCCAGACAGTGTTTCTGAAATGCCTCGAAAATGGTCTATGAGGGCTAATGGTTCTGACAGAGCAGAATCAGTTATAGAATCAATAATAATTTAACAAGAAATGTACAACCCCACACAATGTCAGACTCAAAAAGAAACACTACATTTATATTTCCTTTTTCTTTTCTTTTTTTTGGTGGTTGTTGTGGTGGTGGTGGTTGAATTCTCACTGAGGAGAATTTAAGCAAACAGTGAGGTAAAACTCTTTGTCATTGACAGCAACAACAAAAAACACAGACACATAAGTTTGAAAACTGTGGAAGTTAAAAGTAAACAAGGACTGTTGAATTATAAAGCATGAATCTTCTCTCCAAAGGAAAAAGGTGATAAAAGTTTAAATTTTCATATTCCAACGATATTTATTATTTTATTTTCCAAAATATCAAAAAGTAAACACACACACACACACACACACACACACACACACACACACACCACCAATAACAAATTTTCATAAAATACCACAGGCTATCTAGGTCCAAACCTAAGTTTAGGATGAACACACAGGAAGTGGTCCATGTGATAATTTTGAAGAGCATCAAAAGATGCTCTGAAAAGATTTCCATTTTTAGTTGAACTGCACACCAGAAATTTCCACCCTATTCACTCTCACTCTCCTATAAAGACACTGAAGCCCCTGCCTTCATGTTTATGCAAATGTTTACCTAGAAGCTCCAACACACACGCTAATCCTCATGAACAAGTTCTCAGGTTACCGAACTTGCTAAAGAAACTAACTTCTGGGCAGCAAACGGAACTGAGCAGCTACAGGGGTTGTTTGGGACCCGTGAGTCAAGTAAGAGAGGAAGTAGGGAATAGGGCAAAACCTCAAACAATTGATATTTATAAAATGCTATTTTGGGCTGAATTGTGTCCCCTAAAATGCATGTGTTGATTCTCTAATGTCCTGTATCTTAGAATGTGGTTGTATTTGGAGACTGGGACCTTATAGTGGTGGTTAAGTTGAAATGAGGCCATTAGGATGGGCCCTAATTCAATCTGATTTGTGTTCTTATCAGAAGAGGAAATTAGGACACACTGAGAGACCCTGAGGGCATGTGTGCACACAGGAAAGACCCTGTAAAGAGACAGCAAGAGGGCAGTAATCTGCAAACTAAGGAGAGGGGCCTGAGAAGAAAACAAACTTGCTGTTACCTTGATCTTGGTCTTTGAACCTCCAGAACCATGAGAAAATAAATTTGTTGTTTAAAAATACCCAGTCCGTGATATTTCCTTGTTAGCCCTAGTAAATTAATATAAATGCTTTCTGTGGCCCAAACACTTAGGATCATTACCTTATTTACTATACACTACCAACATTTATTTAACTTTTCTGTGGAGGAAGTTACCTGTACCATAGCTTATTACATGCATTATGATGCCTCCATCATAAATAAAGACTGTGTCATTGAAGTTATTCAACCAGGACCTCCTCATTCACTCCTAAATCCCACTGATAATCCTGTGATCCAAATCAAGATCTGCTTTGTCCTTCCATAGTATTTGCAATCTTAGCTTCTTTTCTTAATTTAATTCTTAATTTTAAAATGTATTTTAATATTGGCAACCTCAGCTCCTGATCAGATTATTGGGAATTCTTCCCGCACATGCCCACATCCCTAAATGAGAAATTTTATAGCCTGGTTCAGAATAAAGTCAGGAATTGTGGTTTTTTTTTCCAGTATCATAGGTGATATTGATATGACTTGCTCACCATTGGAGAGACAGTATGAATCGCTCTGCCTAACAGTTTCTGATACATGGAAAACACAGCAAATGTGTTCTTGTTGAACTAGATCCTTTCAGGGAAAGTAGGCTCAGGTCAAGTTTAAACTGGAAAGACCTGAAAAAGCCTTGAGTTCAAATTCAGAGATTGTATTTTGAAACTTGGGGGCTTATTGAAAATATTAGGGAGTAAAACATGATTCACAAAGGACAAAATACACTGATTAACTTGCCCCTTAAAGCTGAGTACGAAGTTTAGGTCAGTTTATGACAGTTTAGGTCTTAACTTCAAGCTGAACATAGGCAAGATACTAAAATTCTAAGATTCAGTTTCCTTAACTTTAACAATGGTAAAAATTCTCTTTTCTCTCCCTCAAGGAACTTTGCAAATATTAAATGTCCTAATGTATTTGAAAATACCTTATGAAATATAGTAAGCAATATAAAGCATTGTTAGATTCATCAAACAACAGAAAGTGTTATTACTCTTTTGTTGGAAGCCGTTTTTGCTTACGTTGAGCATATTTCTTTACAGATCAAATAAATAACTATACAAAAAATTTTGGCCAGTTATGCAGAAATAAAACTGGGCAATATTGGTAGATAAAAATATTGGGCCATGTCGTGTGACCTATGTCAGAGGGATTTCCATTTTCTATATTGACCAATGATATCTTAACACACAAACATTAAAAAATTAATCAACAGATTTTTTTTGGAGCGATTACCACAGTGTTCTTAATTATTAAGGCAGAATTTTTCAAGTTTAAACACTGGCAGCTGCTCTAAGGTAATGTAAATGTTTTGTTAATCTGAAAGATATTTTTCAGTTTATGTATGATCCATTGCATTGTACACAGCTATTTTAGGAATTCACAGCAATGTTAAGTTTAGACAAAATGTAAGTAGTCAAAAACATTTTATGGCAGGCGAATAAATCATTTTAAAATATAGTTTAAAGTAGGGCACATTCTCAAACTTTTATGATCAACGAATAGCTGCCTATTTTTTAAAACAAAGGCTTTCAATCCTTTAATCATGTTTCCAATGCTCAGGGAAAATAGTACAATTTCACTCTCTTGCTCCTTTCTCTAAATTGCCATTTTTCACTTCAACCAATGACTTTAACATATTTATACGCTGGGTTTGTTTCCCTTTCTTTTTTGGTCCACAATGCAGGCATATCTATTTCAAGGTGAGTTAGGAGAGACCATAGATTATGATGCTAATATTTCCATTATAAGGAATAACCCAGACACTTGCAGGGACAGGGTGAAGATTCTTCATAAAGTGAGAAACGACAAATATTAGGTTCCCCCGCCCCCAAGTAAAGACAAAAATATACTACTTATTAAGTGAGGTAGGGATATCAAGGTAGTTGGTGGTAGACATGACTATAGGGCATGTACTATAGACCAGATCATCCACCATAGATAAATGGGTACATTGGACATGTAGACTTGTGAGCTTCAATTCACCCAGTTCCTTTTTATTTTTCTGAGTGTCTTTCTAAGCTTTTTTTTTTTTTAATATTATTTTACCTTACTCTGGAGACCCACAGAATGGAGGGTGTTTGAAGATTAAGAATAGGAACATGTACCAGTAATTTTGTTGAAAGTTGTGGTGAAAGAACAATTCCACCTGTTTTAAGCATTGGAAAGGTCACAGCAGTATGAAACTTCTATATTGCCTTATATAGGCAGTGAAATTGAATTAAGACTGTAAACTTTTCTTCAAAGTTAAGATTCTCAAGGGCCCAATCCTTGTCTTTTTTGGTACCTTCAACACTGAATGTGTCTGTATGAATAAAGAGTTCAGGATGTGAAATTTAATAAAACATAGAAAGATAGATGAGTAAAATGCACAATATCTAGAAGATCTTCAAAATGACAGAGCAAGCCCCCTTTTGATGACATGAAAAATACCATCTAGACAGAAACTGAATTATGGAGGAAAAATTTGTTCAGACTATATGTTTGGTCAGGTTCACAAAATGCTATTTAATTTCAAGAAAAGAGTGTTGAATTTAGCCTCAGAAGACATAGGTTTAATTTCTGACTTTGTTACCCTTGTGTTGAGTTACCTTGAGCAATGATGTGCTCTTTTTATCTTCATTTATTATCTTCATTAGGAAGTAAATAATATTTTCTAAATAGTTAACCTTTTTGAAAGCCCTTTTCCTAACCAGTAATATTTTGGTGAAAATAAATGGAACAAAAATATTTTCCAAGGAGAGCATGTTTAATGATTGATCTATTACATGGCACTTCACTTTTTTGTTTTTTTGTCCTACATGGAAAATTTTAGAACTGCTCTACTGTTTCATGGGTGAACTTCGAGGATATTATGCTAAGTGAAATAAGCCAGGAAAAGAAGGACAAATACCTTATTATTCCACTTATATTAAGTACTTAGAGTGATCAAATTATAGAGACAAAGAACAGAATGATGGATGCCAGGAGCTTGGGAATGGGAATGGGGAGTTATTGCTTAATAGGGACATATTTTCTGATTGGGAAGATGAAATTCTAGAGATGGATGGTGATGATGGTTGCACAACAATGTGAATGCATTAATGCCACTGAACTAGATACTTCAAAGGGGTTTAGATGGTAAATTTTATGTTTATTTTACCACAACAACAAAAAAAGCTTTAAAAATAAGCACAAAAAATAAAACTGCAGTACTGAGAGTTGCATATTTGTATCCATTGGAGTGTGGAAGGAGGAGACATAAAATTGCTTATAGTCGTCTCAGTTATTTGCTCTTTCTAGGCCTAGAATAGATCAACTTCAGCTTCATCAGTGCTAAATTAGAGTTGAAATCATTGAGGACTGTGTTGCAATTTTATTTCAGATATAATAAACTCAAAGAGTGTGAAAGGGAGGCTGCA